GGGAGCGCACGACAGGGGTTCCAGAACGACTCACAAATAAGAGCGCCTGTTACGCTTCTTTTCTGCTCCCTTCATACGAACAGCGTTCTGCCAGAGATGAGAAGAGGTGTAGAAATCCCTGAGCTGCATCGATCGAGCCCATCATGAAGGCCATCGACGCAACAAACTCTACTATTCAGAACCGCATCTTTCGAAAACGACGGAGTTCGAGATACTGAGGGCGGTTAGGAAGTTCTACATAGCCCTGACCTAGCCCCTTATAGCTACTATCTTACCTAGTCCCTGAGCAGCCATCTTTTGGATAAGCAGCACCATTTTCGAAAGCACCCCAAGAATGCCCTAGCTGCCTTTCTCGAGATAAAAAATTCTGGGGAAAAGGCATCATCTGGTGGATGGCAGGGCCATCGGTGATGATGATGGCGCACATTTTCATTGGTGCTGCTTTTATTGAGGTAAGCGTTCAACTCGGGAATAGTTTGAAAATGTTACGAAATTTTTGAATACCCTAGTAGATATTTTGTTGATGCATATGATTTCAACCCCGTGTTAGCCAGAAGCTACCCTAAAGGCCGACCTTCCAACCAAAAAGGTTCTCCTGTCCTGTTGGTGGTCCAGAAGAGGCATGGAGTACTGGGAGCTGCTGGAGAAGGGACAGACGATTGACGCTTCCACATACGTGACCCAGCTGCGGAAATTGAAAGATCACGTCGACCGTACTCGTGGAGGAATGCGGAAATCTACTTCCACCATGACAACGCCCGACCTCACACTGCAAAGGCGACCCAGGCCGAGCTGGAGAAGTACGGATGGCTGATGGTCGCCCACCCTCCCTACAGCCCTGACCTCGCTCCTTCTGACTACTGGCTGTTCAGCCACCTGCAGCGCTATCTGGACGGAAAAAAGTTCGAAACAAAGGATCAGGTCAGAAAGGCACTCGACGACTTCTTCAAGTCCCAGCCCCCGTCGTTCTGGAAGGATGGAATCGACAAGCTGCCTGAGCGCTGGCGTCGAGTAGTGGATGGTGATGGTGCATACCTCTAATCTTCAGGCTGGTTCGCTTTTGAGATATTTACAAAAAAGTCGGGGTTAAAACATATGCATCAACCTAATAGAATACTTACGGTGCAGCTGATGGCGAGTAGAGCAGAAACTGTTGAAAGCGCCCATTGTACGTACGGCTCGTATTCCTTATAGACGGATAGATGTATCATAGCTCTCCAGTAACCGAAGATCTGATAGTAGACGTTTTCCTTTCGCTCCTCATTCACTAAACGATTAGACGCTATGTTCAAGTGGTCGATAACGCATCGTTAACGCCCATGAGTATTACAGACAAACTGCACACTCACCCCTCTAATGTGCAAGATAACTAGGTCCGCAGCTGCAGTACCGTGCCACGTTCTGCATCCAGAAACGCACGGGAATGGGCTGGAAAGTAGTGATACCTGAGTGCCAACTCCATACTCCGCTCACGCTATCCTCAACGTGGAGCACTTGCGTCGATAACCAAGGTCCTGTAGAGAGAGACGCATTCAGCGGTAGAGACCAAAAGTACGAAGGCGCAGATAACTAGTGCGTTTGGCAATGATTAGGCGTGAGGCTGGCCGCGCGGCAGGAGGCGGAGTATGGAGTCGGCACCGGGATATCACTTCCCTTCAGCCTCGTTCCCGTGCAGTTTGAGAGGGAGCAAGTCACAAGCTACTACAGCTGCGGACTCATTCACCTCACATATGAGGAAGGGCCAGGATCCCCGGAACTGAACGTACAGTTTGTCTCAAAATGCAAATAAACTGATTAGAATCAAGAGGAACGTTCGTGAAAAAATGTGAACATCGAGTGACTTTTCAAAGTTTTTCCAAAGATTGTTTTCCATGCTTCTTTTCAAAACAGTGAAGCAAAGTGTTGTTTTTTTACTTTGTCAGAATTTTCTCTTGGAAAGTAAATCAGACTTGAATCCAAAAAAATCAAGCTAAATTATTGTTAGCAACGAAATATTCTCTTCAGGCATAGATATATTAGGTTGTCCGGAAAGTTCTCAGCGTTTTGTGCACCTATTTTTTGTACATTCACTGCTGATTAAAAACTCATTCTGCCTTGCTTCTCAGTAGCACATCCTGTAGAGAATTTCTTGCGCTATCTGATGGTATAATTGCCGTTTCACCATTGCTTGATAAACCCCCTTTTTTCAAGATTTTTTCAAGCATGTGAAAAGAGCACTTCGGACGATTTTTTTCTTCGACTATAAATTGGGGCAATCCGCAATCGAAACAGCTCAACAAATTAACCAGGTGTGGGGCCCAATAGTGCTAGAGAAAGCACTGTGCGGCAATGGCTCAACAAATTTCGTTCTGGAGATTTCAGCCTTGAACCTCATAGCGGTCGACCTAAAGCAATATTGACGAGCGATTTGAAGCACCTCCGGGCGCCGTCGGCATCCCGCGTTGTGGGGTGACTCTTAATCCCCAACGCGTTTGAGAGATTGCCAGAAAAGCTAGGGCGTTGCAAATCTGCACGTTTCCAGATAGTCTGGAACGCAATTGGAAATGATAAAACTCGACACTTGGTGCCCCACAACGGAGCGACCGGCGAGGAATCTGCACGTCTCGAGGTTTCCTTCTGCATTGCTTTTGCGCAGCAGAAACGACCTGTTTTGGGCCGAATTGTCACCTGTGATGAAAAATGGGTCATGTATGATAACAGGAGACGTTCCGGACAGTGGTTGGATTTCGACGAACCACCGAGGTAATTTTCAAAGCCGAACCCTCACGAAAAAAAGATTCTGGTCACGGTTGGTGGTCATCGGCTGGTGTGATCCACTATAACTTTTTATCACCAGGCCAAACCATCACAGCAGAACCCTACTGTGAAGAAATCGACGAATTGTACCGAAAATTTTGTCAGATGCAGCCAACACTTATCAAAAGAAAGGGTCCGATTCCTTTGCATGACAACGCCCGCCCACACGTTTCACAAATCACTATCCATAAATTGAACGAATTGGGGGTTGAAGTTCTACCTCAACCGCCATATTCTCCAGACCTTTCACCAACCGACTATTCACCTTTTCAAACATTTTCAGAACTTGCTGGAAATACTTCATCAAACAGGACCAGGCAAAAAAGCCTTCGTGGATTTCGTGAATTTTCGACCACCCAGTTTTTTACTTTGATGGGATTTCTCGACTGCTGTCACATTGGCAAAAGTGTGCTGATTCGAATGGTGCCTATTTCGATTAAATCCGATGAGTATTAAAAAAGTTACGATCGTTTAAAGTGAAACACCCAAAACGCTGAGAACTTTCCGGACAACCTAATACAGATGCATCTGGAGAAGTTAGCCTTTTAGAATTTTCCATAGCTTTGGCTTATTTTTTCACCTGGTTCTCCGAGTACTGGACCGTCGCTAAAGACAATTTTACTAGCGTGTTGCCATTTTTATTAACTTTTGACATTGTCTTTGAGCTTGCCGTCAATTTAGATTGTTTTGTTTCTCATCCACATTACAATGATGATTTAGATTTTTCAGGGAGATTTCCGTGATTTTTTTCACAGTCACTGCTGGACAACGACAATATGTTTTATGTTAAACAAATGGCCGTCCACTTCCTAGCTAAGGCGATGGGTGAGGTCCTTATTTGTTCATAATGGGGAGCGCAACCTCCCTTTTCGCTTCATATTCGTACTGCTCTGTTCCTCCTCTTCCACTTACGGCAGGAAACCAAGTAGTGTCCACTACCTTTGAGTGGCACGCTTCCCTGCAGTCTTGTCGACCTTTTTCTTGTACGACTATGGAAATAATCGTTCGTGTTGATCAATATCTGTGGCAAAATACTCTTCCTTAAATACCTCTTGATTTGTTGAATGTTGCTAACATCTAATCATAGAAAAGCTTGAGAGCGACCACATAGAAAATCGACATCAGTGGTGCATAGCGACCAGACCACCCTGATCGCGCGGGAAGAAACACATACAAGAACGGCAGTTGACCACGTAACACACTTCTTCTCCTTCACCTCTGAGGGTCTAGTACTCTAATCGCCTAGATTCTACACTTCCTAACAAAGCATTCGCACTACTCAGTACCCATAGAGAACTACTATCCTATATCCACGATCACTACGCAATCGAAGTAACACCATATCGTGTGGCCAGCTGCTCACTGGCTGAAGGGGAACAGACTTCACCATATTGTGTGTGACACAAACGTTGTCTTAACGAAGTCAGGGTATTTTGATTTATGAATCCTGCAAAAAAAAGGTATGAGTAATCGTATTTAGTGTAGGTGGGTAGAGGTAAAATTCCTCCACTAAGACTGAGGTGTCTCATGTGTGTGTGTTGGCGAAATTTCGACGACTGTCACTGAATAAAATGCGTGAGCGACTCACGAAGAGCAGCAAACTTCTGAAAATCGTAACCGGCAGCTTGTAGTCCGCCTGCAGACACTACCAGGATATGGGCAAAAGTAAAGAGATATGCTCCAAGCAGTACGATCATCACCACTATTGCCGCATCGCTGAAATTGGTAATAATGTTCAAAGAACAATGTGGCTTGCATCCATCTCCCAATCAAAGTCGGAGTGGGTCTGGATCCCATTTCTCCTATACATGGGGAGCAGGGCACATCATTGTTGGGGATTCCCCAACGGGGGGGGGGTCGTATTTGGCCGCTGGGAGAGGGGGGGGGTCGTAATGAGTGCGGTAGCCAGTAACGAGCAGCGCAAAGGTGTCAGTGTGCTGAGTCCTGTACAGCGAAACTTGCTTTGTAGAGAACTCGGATATGTAAAAAAATAGTACAAAACTTTCTTTGATTAAACTAATCAGAAATTAACTGGAAATATTAATAAGTCGACATCATCTCGTAAGTAGGTACAATCCTCATCATTACGGACTGTCGGGCATGTCAGTGCGGCTGCGTTTGGCGCGGTACCGAAGTCGTTCTGCACCAATTGTTGAAGCGGGCAAGTGACATTACTGTATTATATCCTTCGTATTACTCGTTTTCTACCACTTTTTGTCGCATACGCGTTTCAACAAAAAGGCTGAGAACGGCTTCAACAGTGTGCACACTCCTACTGGCTGACACGCCCCGACAGTCCGTAATGATGAGGACAGTAGTGTGGCCAAACACACCACTCACCACGCCCCATCATCCGCAGCGGACCAGAGATGAGTCGTTCGTATCAGACGTACAACTCATACTCTGGTCCGCTGCGGATGATGGGGCGTGTCCGACCGGGCGCTGAGCCAACCTGTCTTTTTTTCTTACGACAAACGACAGGACTACCATATCGTTCGTATCCGTTCGTATCAGACGTTTTCCAGCTGTTGGTCTCCTTTATCAGAGTCAGCAATTGGCGGAGCACAGATCTGGCGGCGTCGGACACGGACACGCCCCATCATCCGCAACGGACAACACTGTAAACAAGTGCGTAGGTTGGCCATGGAACTCCCTGAATCCTGTAAACACATCTGCTCGTGTAGACAGGCATGCGTGGAACTGCACCATCCCATTACCTCTGCGTGGGAGCCTAGGCATGGCGCATCCACAAATGAAGCTAATGGGCGCTAAAACACCTACTGCTTGCTCCTATTCCACGAAGGGATGCATTCCAGATGCATTTCTGGATATCCGAGTACGCTCGCTTGAAACGGTACACAGAAAACGGATTTTTCGAGCAGCTCGGAGTGCTCCCCAATAAACCCCAACGCAGTCCTACTATATATAATCCGCTAAGTTTGTCTGTTGGTGTGTATGTGTGTGTGAATGTTTGTGTGTCTGTCTGTGTGTGTGAATGTTTGTGTGTCTGTCTGTAATGTGTGTTTGACCCGGAAAATTCATAACTTACCTTCAAAACAGCAGTGGAGCGCTCAAATTGATAGGTGATGTAGGAGGTCGGGCAGGAACACTATTGGTAGGGGGCAGGAAGTGATAACAGCTGATAAGATAACATAAGGGGCCTTAGAAGGGGAGAATCGTCAACTTCTTAACGCGCGTCACAGCGACGATGGAAACAAAAAAACTCCACCAACACCCTGCGCAGATGATCGAAACTGAAATCACACAGTACCTAAGGGTGCTCTACAGAAATAGTTCCACTCCCTGAAACTTAGCGATGTTGACACCTTTACGCTGTTCGATGATGACCGTCTCATCGCTTACAAATAACCACTCTCTCCAAGGGCCACATCCTGATGGGATTGTCCCATCCGCTCGGTTTAGCTTAAAGCGTGTTGTAGTCTGTAGAGAGTTGCTAGTGGTTATAGATTCGCCTTTTTGTGTTCAGATGCGCTTGCTTGAACTCGGTTTAGCTCAGCGTGTTGTGGTGGGAGAGAGACTCTTATCTTCATGCAATCTTTGTTCGTGGTGTGTCTCACTTTCTTAATTCTTCAAGGGGTGACTACATTTACACAAATATGATCATCATTCATGGCGATCGGAATGCTAAACACCATTAGGCTGTTCCATAAAGTTCGCCCAATTTTAGATAGTCTTGTGTAGTCGATCTTTATCTCTTCCAATAGGCACCTGTCAATCTAATCGAAGGTATAATGGGAAGCAGGATCGCAATCAGGCAATGAGTGGTTGGCTTTGCTGCGGAATGGGTGAAGCAAAGAGTTTGAAGAGGGTGGTTCAGAGAGCTGAGCAGATAGTAGAAATGAGGAGAAGCACCTGGATTCTGATAGCCCCAGCCCAGTTCTTCTATACTATGGCGAGCCATTTCTGTAATGCGAAATCATGTGTCGTCACTCCCTCAAGAAGGTATTGATGTTCGGTCGAACGTTTTTTCACGAGTCGACCAATACTCAAGAGGAAATGCATGTGGGTACTGTCTAGAACTTCTGTCCAGCTCAGACTGGGTGAACAAGGACTGTGACTGGATAAGAAGGGTGTCTCTGGGTCAACCAATCCCGGGAGCGCCAATGGCATTTCCCAGGAAGAGCGGACCCGTCGTTGCAATCCCATCAGTACACCAGGAAGGTGATACTATGCGTGTGGCGAGCAATTCATGGGGTTTACCGCAAGGAGTTTATTCCTCCCAGCGCTGTCGTAACCAGCGAGTCCTCCTGTAATAGGAGGGTGAAAATCTCCGTCATCAGGTCCCACAACCTAGATGTGCGGCTATCCACTACGGCTCCTTGAACATTAAAAAATTCAAAAATGTCACGAACTTTTGGGACAACCTAATATATAGAGCAGGATGTTGCCTCCTACTTTTTTTTGCACAAGAAATGTGAGCGGACTTTCGGAGGATTAGAGCAAGAGTTAAGACTCACGTCAAAACGTTGTGTCTAAATTTTGTTTGTGCCCCGAGACCATAGTGTCCACTTTGACCAATGCGTAAAATATTCAGGGTCTGAAAGCTCAATATTATATCAGAACATCGGCGATTATTTAGTGGGTAGTCTAATCTAATCCCTGCGCTGGCATTCAGCCGCAGAGTATGGGTAAAAACTGACGATCCCATTGATCAATCGCTGATATGTGCAGTCATATGTGGACGTGTGGTTGTTAGTGGGAGTACGGGTAGTACGTTAAGCCCTGCTAGGATGCTTAAAGACCACTTTTGCTTGGAAAAGACACCATATAAGTGTAGCTCAGGAGCGCGCTATTCATATTCCATGCCGAGAGGTTTAACCGTGCCCTTTGCTTTCAAGAAGCGGATGGATCACTGTAGATCAACTCCCATCAGAGGTCTTTTTAGTTTCGGCTAGTTTCAAGACCTTCATATTGCTTTAAGTCATTGTACAGTTGTGCAGACTGCTCTCATATTTCACTAGTTCGAACAAGATCTGAATGCGTAATATACCCGAAGGGATCAGGACATACTTTCTCCCCTTTAATCAGATGAGGAGATGATGTATTTGGTCATCTCACCCACAGTACTCTGAGCATCGATAACCACCTCTGATTGTAAAGGTGTGAGCTTATTTCAACGCGTTTATGACCTCTCACTGCTTGCGCTATGGCCATCTTTGCATCTTGCCGTGAGGCTAATTCTTGCCAACCCTTCCACGGTGATATCATGAGCATTGGTGATGGTCTCTAGCCGTGACAAGCAAGTATCTATTCAGCGCATATTCATTAATTCATGATCCCCATACTTACCACTAGCAGTGCAGAAGCCCACATCTGTGGCCGGAAAAAGTCCTGCTCTCTCCACAACCACGCGTAGTGCTGCCGATTCTGCCGCATCATAATGGACCAAATAAAACCGATCACCATGATATAAGAAAACGTGATATTAAAGTAACAACACTGAAAGAGAGAATGAATTTATTCATCGAAGAAGCACTAGAATGAGATCAGAGCTCATCTGAAGCTGTAAAAAAAATCAAAGAGATGAAGGATTCGGTGCGGACTCCGATGTGCGCAGCGCACTGAGTTTGTGATAGTGGAAACATTCTCCTAACGGCAATTTGTACGATGAACCCCTAAGACGAGTAGGATAAATACGCCTGGAATTCCGCGACCCTGAGCAAGCGGAGGGTAACGCCTTTTCCAAGGAAGGTTCCCTCATAAGGCATTGTTCACACTCTGCGGTCCAGCGTTTCTCTGAAACGCGGCGGTTCGGCGAAAAGCTTTCGATACATATCGACTGGCGGTTGGGCGAAGAGCCTGGCGGTTGGGCGAAAGGGTTTTGGTACGTATCGACGGGCGTTTCGCCAAACCGCGACGTTTTTCGCCTTCGACAAAACGCTAGCTCCATCGCGGTGGCGTTTTTCGCCAGCGAAATCGATACACATCTACTGCTTTTCGCCCAACCGCCCAACCGTGGGCGATTCTCCGATCGATGACTATTTATTGCTGTTTTGTTATGATACTATTTATTGCTTTTCTCCCAATCGCCGTTTCGTCAGGGCCTGGAGACTGTGAACAATGCCTAAGGGCAATATCAAGCTATGGCATACCGACCCGAACGCACACCACGCGCGCCCGCCCACAAATGGACGACCGTACCTGATGCTCGTATTGCTTCATTTGCGAAGTAAAATATGAAGCGAAGGGATTGGTATGAAGCGGCTGCGGTGCTGCATGGATATATGAGTACATACGTGCACTGTACCTACCGCAGCGGTTACTGGCAAGATGCCTACAGGAAACTCATTAAAATGGCTCTTTGAATCATTGCAGGTTTCTGACTTCACTTCTTTTTTCGTAATTTTCCCCACTATATAGCACCCCTACTACCATTCTGGACCGAGTACCAAATTACAGCGCCAATTGCCTTTAAGTATCCAG